GCCTTGGTAATAACTCCCCTTCTTTTTTTAAAGACAGCTTTATTGAAATATAGCTGAACTGTAGCTGGTTTTAAACTCTATCAATTAATTAAAAATCTTCCCTTAGTTATGATTCCTTCTTATTAGAGTCATTACATATTGGATTTCTGAGGTTTTTTTTGTTTTGTTTTTTTTTTTTTTTTTTTGGTTGTTGTTGGTGGTGTCTGCAGAGTGACTAACCAAATGCAGAAACTGTCTTAAATAGACCTAGAATATTACTTAATCCCTTAGAGAATTCCTCTATATATTTGTCTTTAAAAAGCAAAAGCAAAACAAAACAAAGTAACAAACAGATAGACACAACACACAACACAACAAAACCTTTAAAAGCAATATTCTTTTTCTTTAGGTAAAAGTAAAACTTGGACAAATGTAAATTATATGAACTCCATTCTTCCATTATCATTGTACTGGCTTTGACAATCTTCTCTTGCCAAATTATTTGTTCCTGGTTGTAGGGAAGATATTTCTAAAAAAATAACTTGAAAGAAGCAGGGGAAATGGTTCTCTAAAGAAAATAAATATACACAGTTGTATAAGATCATTAGCAAATGGGTTAGAGTAAATTTGTAGGTCCAAAGAGATGGAAAAAGACTTTAAAAGGGGAGTTTCCAAAGGTTTTCTTGATGAGAAAGTTCTCTCTTCCTGGTGCCTGGCTGGGGCTGGAGAAGTCAAACTGTGGGGATCTCTTCCTTCTGAGAACAGATGCCCAGTGAGCTGGATGAGGCTATTCAAAAGTGGCTACTGGTGCAGAGATCCACCACCACACACTTTAAGATCTTACTGTAAACTGTCATGATAAGTCCTGTTTAAAACTTAAGAGGAAGATGGCCCCATATAGGATTCAGTGGGAAGCATGAATTTGTCCAAGAGGAAAATAAAATGAAAATTATCTTGAGATTTTTCAAGGAGAATTAACAGTGCTAGTTTCAACAAATAATTATGTCTTTTTAAAAAGTTTTTAAAAAATAATTTAATCTGAAACAAATGCAGAAATGTAATTTCTTGTCCTGCAGAAATAGCCATGGTTTTCCCTGTGATGTTCACAAGCTATTATTCGTGCAAGAGCTATAGACTGACTTTACCCATGCACCAAACACCCCTCTCTCTCATTTTTGGGGAGCCCAACTTGCTCTCACACTCACTGCCCCAATTTCCTTCACTGGCAGAGGGTTAAACTTGGACCAAAAATATATGTCATGGTGACATGTACATCGCTGGAGAGACTTTATATAACTAGGTTCAAAAGCCTAGCTCTGCAGCCACGTTTCTATGGCCTATATGAATCAGTCTTATGCAGTTTGTGATAAAAACCAAGTTTTGTTTTTTTTTTTTCCTTAAGCTAAATTTTAAAAGATGTGCAAGTTTGGTAGAAAAAAATTGAATCAAAATCAATAAAGAAACTGAAGCTTCTTTATTAAAAGGTTCATCAAAGAAATTCATTAAATATATATTGCATGTCAGAACAAAAAAAAATGCCAAATAATAGTATAAAAGTTTTATCCTTGTATAAGTATGTTATATAATCAAAAAGAAATGTGTAAGAAAAGACTGTTAAATTATCAGATGCTTGCAGATATAACGAAAATTAGGGCATTGTTCAAATAGCCAATTAGTTGTAAAAGGATTTGCTGCTTTCAGTGTAATCTTTTGAATTTTTTTCTTTTTTCTTACTAAGAATTCATAAACTATCTTTCCAAGAGTTAAAACCTTCCACCAGAAACAAATAACAAGACTCCAGTGTATTACTTATTTACAAATAGAGAATCTAATTCTCAGAAATTCCTTTATAAAGATTGTGTCTTGAGTTTCTTCCCCAGAAAGTCTAATATGTCTTTGGTCACAGATGTGTACTTCCTATGGACAGAAACCAGGCAACCTGTTTCTGAGTGCCTTTTATCAGTTCTGACACATCATTGCTCCCGTTTCTTCAGAAGTACCAGAGGATGTAAATGAATAGTGCCCCACCTCACTATAATTAGTGGCCTTATCTAATAAAGGTGCCAAGGTTCCGCTCTGTGCTTTATCTGAGCTCACAGCCTATTTTTTGGAGGGGAGGGAGAAGTACTGTCATCAAGTCCTGCTTAGTGATCGCTGCCACCCTGTACTATTTTAGAGATTTTGACTCACTCGTAATTCAAGGTGACAAAAATGGAAACCACTACTTTGGATTTTCAGTTACGACAAATGAAAATGCTATTAAATATATAAGAAATTATAAGAACCTCTGAAATGATAAATTTTTTCCACTGAGGTCATGAAAAGTAAACCTGAAAAAAAAAAAAAAACAGAAAATACACTCAGCCTTTGGCAAAATCTAAATGCACAACCATTTCAGTAACTTATCTGAGGTAGCTATATTTTGTTTTATTGTACCATAGTAACACCACTTTCCATTTGAGATTTCCCATTTCTGCATCATGATTATTACTATTATCATTATCATTCCATAAAATTTCTTCCTTTTATTCCCACTGTTTTCAACTTCTCTGGTTCATCAAAGTCCCATCTACAGGGAGTGAAATAAAGTATTCCTAAATCCTTCAGGCTCCAATGTCTGGATGCATGCAGCCTTACCCCCATGATAACAATGTAGTGCTACACCAGATCTCCCCTCCTTCCTCTCAGAGATGCTAGGCCCGTACTGTCTACTACAGCAGCTAATAGTAGTTGATGTAGAAACTGCTGAATTTCAAGTCTGATCTATTGAAGCTGAGCCTCCTATAAGATACCCAAGTGAAGTTATGTGGTTGCAAAGAATGGAGATGTATGGTTCACAGGATTAAAATCTGGATTAGAGATATACATGATATCCAAACATGGAGGTTAGGATCACTGTAGGGCAGAAAGGATATTAATAACACAAATTCTGTGAAACAATTTTTTGTGAAAAACTAAACATAAAATATTTAAATTTCGACATCTAAATATAAAAAAGCAATCTTTAAGGTCCTACGTCTAAATACATTTACACAAAGAAAAGTCCATATGTGGAAATGTTCAGTGACTGCTTTGAGACATGGAGTTATACCTGTAATGCACGTGTATTACTTGTGATGCTTTAAAGGTGTTTTGTTTTAATGTCAAAAGAAACAAGGTTAGTATATTCAAGTCAGGCATCTTCAAACAATACAGAAATGCATACAGTGAAAAGAGAACATTTTCCTTCAATTACCTCCAATACCACACTCCTTGTAGAATCAATGTTACAACTGTAGCTTGTAACCTCATGCACTTTTCCAATGCGTTTACAAATACAGGAGAGAAAGATAGGTAAGAGAAACATTTGTTTGTTTGTTTGTTGAGCTTTGGTTTTAATTTTGTTTCATCATAATCAGATCTCAAGCCTTTTTCTCGCCTTTACCTATATTCTCTACTTAGATGATTGCTCCTTGTCCATTGGTTTTGAGTGTCTCTATATGACTGGTGACCTCTGATTTTATATGCTCAAGCCATGACCTCTACCCAGAGCTCCAGACTCACTCATACTACTTGGTCATTTGATACTGACACTTGGCTGTGTACTAAACACTTTGAACTGAATAAAGCCCAAACAGAATCCTCAGTGCCTGTTTTTTCCTGGGGCCTCAACCCCAAATCATTCTTCCTCTTCTCAGTATAAGGTATTTGGTTTTGTTCATCCAGGCTAGAGCCCAAAATAAATTGTCCTCAATTTCTCAACTTCATACCTAATGTATCAGCAGAAGCTGTTGACTCTTCTAAAGTATTTTCTGTATCCATCCACTTTTTCCATCTCCACTACCATCACCTTAGTCCAAACTATCATGTTCACTCATCTGGATTACCTCATAGTCTACTTCTCTTCCACTCATGGCTCTTCAGAACCTATTTTCCATGCAAAAATGATTTGTAAAAATGTATGTCAGATCACCTTACTCCTTGATTAAAAACATCCAGTGGTTTCTAATTTCTTTTAGAATAAAATCTAGACTCTGTGCCATTATCTCCAAATCCCTCCATGGCATGTGCCTTGATCTCCATCATTCTGGCTACATTGGTTTTCCCTCTATTCCTAAAACAATAGCAATTCCTTCTGGCCTTAGAACCTTTGTATTGCTGTTCCATTTATCTGAAAAGCTCTTTCTCCAAATATAAGTAATCTGACTCCTTCTCAACTTCCAGTTCTAAATCCCAATGCACCTTCTCAAGGAATTCTTCCCTGGCTCTGTTTCTCCCTTATTATTCATGTCTTTACAGGCAGAAGGTATAAATACTAAAATTAAGCAATGCGTGTAATCAACTTAGAAAAATGCTGGTATTTTTATTATACAGTCATTATACATGACTTACCCACTTGGGGTTTTTTCACAAATCATTACTGCCAAGAAATGTTTATCTATTAACGTGGGGGCCAGAACCAGATATTTACCCTCCTTACTAACTTATAAAAGCCAAGAAAAGAAAAAGAAAAAGAAATAGAGTCCCTTTTCTTAGTCTACTAATTAGTCTAGTCTTATTCATGACCTTGTTCCCGACTCTACCATCTATAGCAGGAAAAACTGAAAAAGAAAATACATGAATTATATTCCACTTTAAAATTTAATTCAACCCAACTGTTTGCTATAATTATTTCATCTTTTACATGTATCTCCTCAACTTCTTCGTTTCCTTGAGAAAGAGAAGGAAAAAGAACTTATATTACCTCAAAACAATATGAAAAAGGACATGTGTGGCCTCTTGCTGGTTCTTGGGTAACTCAAGAATAGTTAATGAATGATTATATAATCCCAGCATCACTTTATTTTTTTTGCAGCATCACTTTAATTGACTATATACTTTGCTTAATTTAACCCTTGCAATAATTCTATAAAGTGAATACTTTTATTATCCTGGTTTCAAGTTGGAAAAACTGAGGCAGAGAGATGATGTTATTTGGGCACAATTGTACTACACTGTAAATGACAGAGCCAGAAATTGTACCCAGGCAGTCTGCTCCATACCTGATGTCTTTGGCCATCATCTTATGCTGTTTTCTTAGTATGCTGGCTGGATCCAGCGAGCTATGGTTGGCTCAGTCCCATCCTTGTGCTTTCTGCTGTTGTCTACTGCTGACATCTATACCTAATGAACTTGTGGTGAAGTCTCCTTGGCTGGCCAAACACTGGGCTGTCAACTCAGCCTTCACATTACACAGGACCTGGTGGAGGTTCAGGAGGAAAAACAAAACCCTGTCTAGGCTTGTCTATACCATTCCACCCACTTACCCATATTTTTGTGTGAACACTCTATTCTGTGGGCTCCTCCTAGAGACCTAATGGGGAGTGGGGCCAGAGCCCTTATGCTCTCCTCTGTTAAAAGTCCATGTCTGCATGTCTCATTCCCCTATGTCTGTCTTATCTTTTCTTTCTCTTTTTCTGCTCATAAGCTGCTGGGCCAAGGGGGTGGGCTGGTTGCTGACTTTGTAGCACAAACTTTTGCTGTGAAATGCCTTCTTTCTCCCAGAGGTAGCACTTGTCAGTTCCCCTTTTCCATGGGCTCCGCCAACAGAATCACTGTTATGCAACCTGGTGAAGAGGGATGAAAATGCACTGGCTTAATATTTGTCAAATTTATCCATACCTCTCTTGTATGTCTTCCCCCATCGAACACAGGCTAATGATAGCGGAGGCGTCGGCTGCCCTTTGTAGACCAGCTTGCTGACTGTAAAATCTCAGCTGTTTACCTCCTTAAAACATATGGTCTATTTGTCATGGGTATGACCTTAATAAATGTCTGTGCAATGCTTAGAAGAATAAAATGCATTGTAAAACCTTTCATCCATCAAATGTCTGTCATACTGCCAGGCCAGGTGGAGTAATAATTGTGCTTACATGTATCAGCAAAGAACAATGTAATAGATGAAACTACTTCAAGTAATTAACTTACTCACAGCTGTCTTTTTTTTTTTGGACAGAAAGTGGCTTGAAAGACTGAAGTTACCAAGAGCAGAGAATGAGGCACGTAGAAAACGTCGCCATAGCATCACACTGTCTATTTACTGGAAAGACGACATGATTAAACACATTATAGAGTTATAACTTGCCCGCTGTGTTAATTTCTTGTGGCTGCCACAAAAAGTTAGCACAACCTTGGTAACTTAAAACAATAGAAATTTATTTTCTCACAGTTCTAGAGGTCAGAAGTTCAAAATCACGGTGTGGGCATGTTCTGTGGAAGTTCTCCCAAAGATGTGGGGTGAATCCATTCCTTCAGTCTTCTAGCTTCTGGTGGCTACCAGCATTCCTTAGAATTTTTTGGCTTATGGTTACATTTCTCCAATTGCTTCTTTGGTCTTCACATCATCTTCTCTGTGTGGCAAGTCTTCCCATTCCTCTCTTTTATACGGATACATGTGATGGCATTTAGAGCCTATCCATATAATCTAAAATAATCTCCCACACTAGGGATGGAGAGGACACAGGTAAGGGGAAGAGATATATCTGCTTTTTCAAGCAATATATTCACCATGCTCAAATAGAATGGCTTTTCAAACTTTCTAGATTTCCATGTCCAAGGAAATCTTAGCCTTCAATGTTTCAGTTCTCTCATAAATGTGCTTACTACAATCCTTTCCCTAGATTACTCAAATTAACCTCATTTTTCACCATTTTATGCTTACTTGAAAATAATTGCTTGGTGATTTTGACAACTATAAATTAGTATTTACCAAAATATATAATGCAATGATATAAATACCTACTATCTCAAATGCAAATGTGGCATAATAAATACATCTCCACAGAAAGGAGAGTGGAAACTGATAATTCATCTTCGTCTATCCTACAATTGTGCTTCACTTTTGTTTACATCCCATCTCCCCAAGTAAGATAAAGATAGGTGAAGGGAAAAATAGCTATGTATGCACGGCTTTGGTGTTGCACATTTAAAGGGAAGTTTGGAACTACTTTTGAAAAGCTCCCCAAATGAACATACAGTTTAGTAAAGTTGAATTACTTATGTTTTATTTATTATGAATTATCTGGATACTTTTTGTAAAATTTTTCTTAATTTATGTTAATTATCATATCAGCTTGGTACTGGAATGGGAAGAGACCCCAAATGAGCCACTTGGCCTGCATGGTAACTCCATGAGCATCAAAAAGCAAGAAATCTTCTATTTCATTGCTCCAACCTTCATGACATGTGGCTTCCATCTTGTGTTCAATTGATGACCCATCCCACTCCTTCTCATTACTAGAAAAGGCAAAGGGAATAAGGGAAGAACATCCCTTTAAGTTTCCTTATCCTAGAAGCACACAGTATTTTTGCTCTAAAAGCCAAAACCAAATCACATAACCACAACCAGCTGCAAAGGAAACTAGAAAATGTACTCATTGGTTTGGATAGCCATGTAAGAGTTAAAATCCATTACCATGAGAAAACATATTGGGAATCAATTAACCATCTCTTCCAACAATACTCCCATTTGCCTATCCAAATATCTGTGGTATTTCTTCTCATATATAGAGCACACTCAGGCCCTTCCAAGTCTCGTTCAGCATCTGACAACCTATAAAGTAAAAGACAAACTATGTGACTGCCCCTCCTCCTAAACACATGCCATAATCTACAATGGTGGAATATGACTAGGGTAACTGTCATAAAGTTTCTAATTTTAAACAGGGAAAGATGGAAACACTGAAGAGTCATCTGTCTATAAAGATTATAAAGGGCTGTTGGATAAGAACCGCAAAGATTCTCTGCCTAAGAATGAGTTCTTATATAGTGACTCTGCCCTTGATTCTTCACTCTGAGAGGAGCTCATGGCTTTGCTTTTCGGGACGTTCCTTTCTATTTTATTGTCCTCTGTGGCCACCTCTGAAGAATGTGTGATGGCTGCCCAGCTTTGCAGTCTGATCTTGTCTGGTACAGAATGATCTGATTTAGAGCTTGAACAATAATAAACTTTGTCAGTTTAGCTTGTAGATTCTTTGACAATAGAATGTCCTCAAAAACTTAGTAGGTTTTTGCTCCTACTCATCCATTTAGGAGTAACCACCGCCCCTTGTTTTGGATATAATACTAAAATCTGAAAGCACTTTTTTTTGTTGTTGTTTACTGGTTTCTGAGTTCTACTGCCCCACCTCACCTTCTCAACATAATAGATGCTATCTAGAGACTGTTTGACACATTTGCCTTGGATGAGATAACAATGTCCTTGATCTGACCTTTACCACCTGGCTCGCTTCCACTATCTAGCAAATATTGTAAGGCCCCAAATCACTGGCATAAACATTACCTACCCAGGAGGTGATTGATCTTAAGGGGTAGTATGGAAGGAAAGCAGAAGTTAGGAAGATGTGAGGGAAGGATTATGAAGTTAGAGAAACAGCAGGAACAAGGGCATGTGGTATATGAAAAGAAACATCGACAGACTAGACATAGGACTGATAATGCAGCCGAGTTCAGATGATGATGGAGAGTGTGCATACTAAGCTAAAGAGGGCCGTTTTATGGTTTGAAAAGGGTGGTAGCGAAACAGATTTTTGATACTCCATCTGATAACAGTGTGAAGGGTGGATTTAAGGAACAAAAATTTTGAGACAGAAGGACCAGCTAGATGGTTACTATGGTAAACTAGGCAAGAGATAATGACAGAATGATAATAGGATCAAGAAATGGCACCTGGGTGGCTCAGTGGTTGAGCTTCTGCCTTTGTGTGATCCCAGGGTCCTGGGATTGAGTCCTGAGTTGGGCTCCCTGCATGGAGCCTGCTTCTCCCTCTGCCTGTGTCTCTGCCTCTCTCTCTGTGTGTGTCTCTCGAGAGTAAATAAATAAAATCTTTTAAAAAGAGAGAAAAATATTTAATAAATATAATCAGTAGAACTTGGTGGTCATTCAGTTGTTATAGTGTGAGTGAGAGAAAGGAGAAAGGCAAAGGCAAGGGCTCACATAAAGAACATGGAAAAGAGACCGATTCTATCTCAGAGGTATTGAGATTTTTTAAAAAGCCTGTATGAATTCGACGTATAAGTGTTCAGAGGAGGTAAATACAAGAAAAGGTTTTTCAGGAGAAGACTATACCAGAAAAGTCCATTGAGGGTGTTGCTAGTGAACAGGCAATAGTTATCACCTTGGAACCAAAGGATAGCTTTCAGTTAAAGAATATACTGTAGGAAGAAAATCTGAGAATCATCAAAATTTTAGAGGAAGACAGAAAAAAAAAAAGAGGCCCCTGAAGAAACCAAGAGGGAGTCAGAGGAGCAAGCCAAGAAGCATGGGAGTAGTGTAAGAGAATTGCTCTGAGGGGTAAGGTAAGAAATGGGGGAAGAGTGAATGTGGGAAATGGAAAGTGTAGGTCAGCAGTGCTCTGACACTCACAGGGTAGGAAAGAAGGAAGGCAGTGTAATAACAGGAAGAAACAGGGTCAAAATGGGACTTTCTTTTAAGGATGGGAGATTTGTCTATAATGTAGGCCAGCAGCAAGGTGAAGAGATGGGGGTTGACGGTGTTGGAGAGGCAGGGATAACTGATAGATTCAGATCCCACTCCAAGAAGAGAGGAAATCGTGAGCAGGGTTGGGAGATTGACCCTGGTAGCAAGGGAGGTCTCAATCCCATAGGCCTGTCAGTTACGTCAGAATTGGGAAAAGGGAAAGGTAAAGGAATTTATACTTAGGGACTTTGTCTTGCCTCTGGGTATCAGGAGTTGTGAGTGAAGACAGCTTGGGGTCTGCTGCCCTCTTCACCATCTCTGCACTTACACACCATTTAGATCAAGCTGAAGAAACGGGGTTTAAACAGCCTGTGTTCTCACAGGAATATAAGGGAGTAAGAAGACAAAAACTTAGAAGTTGATCCCAGCAGGCCCCACTATGAGGGTTAGGGTGCTGTCATTGACCTCTCTAGAAGGTGCCACCTGGAGAAAACAGAACCTACTTTCCCTCCCTTGGCATCGGCCATTACTCCCTGCTCTTACAGAGGGGAAGGTCCCTGAGTTCCCATTCAATCTATAATCAGTCCAGGATACTCAGTAGGGCACCCTGGACATAGTTCTGAAAACTAGGCTTTAAAAATCAATCGAATTTGACCAAATTTGTGCTAATTTTTAAATAATAATTCTTTGATCATTGTCAAGCATCCAGGACATTTGAATCAGCATTCCTAGTAACCATTCAGTGACTGTAATGCTTAAACCATTTTCTCATATGAAGTTTATCTGAGCTTGGGCAAATATAAGCCAATAGTAATACCATTTGAAAGCCAGAAATAAAAGAGAAAAGAGAGAGAACAAAAGGGTTGGGGGGGGTGGGGGAGAGAGAGAGAGAGAGAGAATATTATGAAAATAAAAATTAACATATGAGCCAAACTTGCAGAATCAAAAATATTTCACCTGGGAAAGAAAGACTCTGAG